TATTTTATGCCAATAGAGTCCCAATGGATTCCTCAGCAGCCGATAAGTATAACTTTAAAGGCCGTATCTTTATTGGTGGCATCATTACTGGTGGATTGACTAAGTATCTCTTGAGTTCTTCAAAAGTTGCTTGATGCTGGTTTGTCCACTGGAAATCTTTTGTTTCTTTCAACTTCAAAATATATGAAAAAACATGGGTTTTTCCAGCATGGTTGGAAATAAATCTGCGAAGAAAACTTATCTGCCCTAGAAACCTCTAAAGCTCCTTCTTACTCTGAGGAGGTTGTGCTTCCATAATGGATTTAGCTTTGTTTTTGTCAACCTCTATTCCTCTCTGATGGACCAGAAAGCCTAAGAAATTTCCAGCTGAAACTCCAAAAGCACATTTCAATGGATTCAACTTCAACTTGTGCATCCTCATCCTTTTAAAGGCCATCTCCAGGTTAATCAAGTGTTAAGGTTAATCAAGTCCATCCTCATGACTTGATGACCATGTCGTCTATATAAATCTCTATAAACCTACTAATCACATCATGGAAAATTACATTCATTGACCTTTGGTAGGTAGCACCTGCATTCTTAAGGCCAAACGGCATGACCACCCACTCAAATGTCACAATAAAACCTGGACATCTAAACCCCATTTTTGGAATATCTTCCTCAGCAATATAGATCTGATTGTAACCAGAATGGCCATCCATGAATGATAGAATTCCATTCTTTGTCGCTGCATCTATGATAAGCGCCGAATATTGCATATTTAAGCACCCTTATTTGCATTAGTTAAGTCCATTATTTTATCATATTGCATATTCTAGCTTCATTTGCATGCTTTTGTTTATTTTCAGGTTGGTTCCCCAAAGAGAGTTAAAAGATATGCTTTGACGAGTTCTTAAAGAATCAAAGCACGCCGTTGCCAGGGACCTTCGTTTTGGCCATGATTAATGATCCACGGGACTCATGACGCTCTATGCAAAAAGTTTTAGGAAGAATTTCCATGTCTTCAGGCCGAGCCAAATCATTTCAGGTTGCAAGTAGCAAATTGGTGCAAGGCTGTAACAGCGCGGGCGTTGGTTGATATTCCGTTAGACTTTGGCCTCCAATTTTGACCCTTTTCATTTGTGAATTTGGTCTTTAGTAAAACATGAAATATGAAGGGCTATGAGTCATCTTTCCATATATATAAAGTTTGCCTCAATTGGATTTGTATCCAAACAGTTATGTCATTTTTACCCCAGGTGTGCAATGCTGAAATTTACAGCCTGACAGTAGTGAAGTTCAACTTTGTTCTTCATTTTTGGCCCACCAAACTTGAGAATTGGACTTCCATTAAACATGATGTACTTAGAGCTTTGAGTTAGCTTTCCAAATCATCAAAGGATTCATCATTTGGAGTTCGGAGCAGGGAGTTATGGCCTTTTTACCAAAGGTGCGCAGAGCTGAGGACAAGCTGCGGGCGCCCGCAAGAAACCCACGGGCGCCCGCCAAAAGGGCCAGTAGCCTCGTGAAGCCGCAGGCGCCCACCGATCTGCAAACAAGAGAGCATGGGCTCCCTCCTCTTCGCCTAATGTTATCCCCTTAATTAAGGGATTGCTCTAAAATTGTCTATGGGCTTATGGACCACGAATTTGGGGGTAGATAGGAGGATAAGGTGGATATAATAAGGCATGGATGGTAAGAAATCCATATCTCATTTTTTTTGCAAAGTCTAGAGAGAGAATTTTAGGGTGTAGAGAAAAGGAGGGCTGAGGAGAAGAGGGAGAGGGGGTGCACGAAAATGGAAGCTCTTTAGCTCTTTTGGGGGATGCAACTTCAACCATGAGAGGCTAACTATCTTCCTAAGGAGTTGATGTAACCCTTGTCAAGTAAATATGTTTTAATTGTGTTTATATTTGGGGAACTTTGCATATATGTGACAAGTTGTATAATCTAGAGATACACTTTGATGTATTTGTGTTGCATTCCATATTTAATCTTGTTGAGACTCTTATCTTGTCTAAAAAATTGTTTCTTCATGATTATGCTACTTACATCTTTATAGTGAGAATGAAGATAAGATTATACAATGGTTTTATTGACATGTTGTATGGAAATTTTGATAGTCTATAGCTTAGGGAAACCTTTAATGGATTATCGCTTAGTTTTTGACTTCATGTGCACTTACCACACAAATTGAGGACTTTGATAGTTCATAGCTTAGGAAGGATATTTCATGCTATACCCTAGTTTAGATAGATGAATTATACCAACCTTTGATGGATTATACTTAATTCTTGAATGTGTGAACTTCTTAAAGATATTGTAGTTGTCTTGTATTTCTAGATATCATGGTTACATGTATATTTTTTCCCCAAGTTAATCGCAATTAGGCATGTTTATATGGCTTGTGGTGAAGTCAATTCCCTAGCCTTTCCCACACTCTCCTTATTTGAAATTCAAATTATTTATTTGTAGTTAATTTCAGTTTATGTATGTGACAAACAAACCAATCCAAAAACTTTCTTTCATAAATCAAACCATAAATTAATCTTACAAGCTTGATTGCCATAAGCTAACATTCCCAGTGGTTCGACTTACCCGTCCAATAGCCCTATTTTATAATGATTTGTGCTATTGCAAAAGGTTGATTATTATTGATAGTCGACGAGACCCATCAATCTACCAATTGATCTGGTAGTTCTGATGAAACCCGCCTTTAAAAGCCTTTTAATTTCTTCTCTGACTTTCAGAATAACCTCGTGTGACATTCTTCTAAGAGGTTGTTTGAAAGGCCGGTACCCTTCCTTGATTGGTAGCTTGTGCTCCACCAATTTTCTAGAAAGACCAGGCAACTCTTCATATGTCCAAGTAAAATAGGTTTTGAATTCTTTCAAGAGAGAAATCAATTCCTCTTAAAAATTTGGTTCTAACAGCCCACTTATATAGGTTGGCCGTGGATCTTCCTCTGTCTCCAAATTAATTTCTAACAGTGGATCCTAAACCTCGGCCTTTAAATCATCAAGCTTTGCTGGAGCAGACTTCAAATTTTCTAGTTGGATTGCATCCATTTTACCTTCTAGATCTTCTGTGGCTTTTACTAAGTTATTGGAAAGTACCTTAGCACATCGTCTACTTCGTTCCAACCGTAATTCGGTTAGGTATGCTTTTAATCTTGCCAGGCAACAGTTCACCGCCTAGTTTCTTGCCCTCTCTTTCTTGTGAGCTTCTTCCATTAAAACTTTTCAAAGTGAAAGGCATTAGACGTCAGCCTGTGAGAGGATTGCTTGCCTTGACATCTCCTAGAACAACTCCTTAACTTCTTCTTCTATAAGAGTTTTTCTCATTGTTGCTGACTTGGGTCAGCCCTTGCTGTCTTTTCCAATGAACCTTACTGGCACAAACTCTCCATTATAAAGTTCAGCATCTGTATGATACACTTTCGCAATGAATGGTTTATTGTCTGCTTCTATAATCTTAACTTCATCGCCATCCCAAAAAATTAGCATTTGATGCAAAGTAGATGGAATGCAAAAATTGGGATGTATCCATTCGCGGCCTAATAATAAATTATAGGCCGTTGTGGATTCCATAATAAAGAATGTTATCATGATTATAACATCTCCAACAGTCAATTCCAATAGAAGAATTCCCTGTGTTTCCACTGAACCTCTAGTAAAACTGCTAATAGCCACATCACTAGGAATTACATCCTCTACTGTCTTGTCAACTTCCTCCTGACATTAATGGGAACAATATTCAGCACTGAGCCATTGTCCACCAAAACTCTTGAAAGTGGACTGCCCTCAATTAATACCTTTATATGGAGTGGCTTCAACTGCTGAATCATTCCAACAGGGGGTTTCTCTAAAACCACCTTCTTTGGAGTTGGAAGTACATCATCTTGAATTTCAATTTCACAAGGCTCTTGGAAAGCGTCGGCTTCTTCTTTTGAAAATTCCTCTGTAATTTCTTCTATGTGTATACCTTCAATCCTTTTCTCTGGAACCAAATCTAATTCAACAACTTCTATTTCTTCTGGAATTGACTCGTCATCAACAACATCACCTACCATTAAAGATGGTTGATTTGGTTTAGACTCAAAGACCAATGGAAGGATAACAACCATGTTACATGACATTTCTTCTGGAAAGTTCCCAAAACAGATTTTCTTCAAGTTGGATGAGTTCTGAGAAATCTCTAGTTCTTTTATTGGGATTACTTTTTGCGCCTTATCCTCTTCTACAAGGGACTCTTCTAGCTCAGAAGTAAAGTCTTCTAAATAGTCTGGGACTCTATCTCTTCCCCTTGCTAATTTCTGTGGGCTTTTTTACTTCACTTTTGGCTTTCCAACCATGATCCTCCTCCCACAACTTTCTTCCTTCTACTCTTCTTCTCTGAAAACGACGCTTTTGTGTTTGCGTGTAAGTTGCATCCCTATATTTGGGAAACTTGGGATGGTCCACCCTTTTCCACATTTCTGAATAAGGAATTGGGGGCTTGACCGTCTTTGGATTGAGGGTTTTGGTTTCTTTCTTTACCCAGACTTCTGAATCGACTCTGGGCTTTCCATGAGAAACACTACCAAACTCCTAATCTTTTCCGATAAGCCTTTACAATTTCTCTTCATGAAACCTGGAATCGTTTTTCCTAGGCAAGAGAATGCTTCTTTTCTCATAATCCCTTACTTCCAAATTCCTTGGTCAAAAACTGGAGTTTTATGTATATTCAGGCCTTTTTTGATTAACAGGCCTTCTGTCAACATGTCGTTCTTTAACTGGAATAGTTACAGTAACCGATTCTACCGGCTGACGGAAGTCAATCTGTCATGAACCTTTCTTTTCTGGCCACGCTCGTCACTTGATGTCTGCCCCTCTTTGTTCTTGCCCATGGACTTATGGACCTTGCACTGAGGACAACACCCTTGCTGGATAAGGGTAATTTGAGCTTCTCGGAGTTGCCTCTCTAATTCTGCCATAGTTTTTTCCAATGGAATTGACTCTGGCTCAGTAACTATTTTCCCTTTAGCCTCCTTCCTTTAAGTCCACCTTCTTTCTGGGATGGTCAGCAGTGATATTAATTATATTAGTAGTGACTATTACTCGAAAGGGATTCCCATCTATTCCCATTGCTTCACTTTTCTCTAGAAACTTCATCTTCCCCTCCTTAATTGCTTTTTGCACAATATAACGAAAAATAACACAATTATTAGTTGAATGTCTCCAAAAATTATGATACTTACAATATTCTTTTCCAAGTAAATCATTAGGAGTTGGGAGTTTATGCGCAGGAGTTAGAATTAGCTGCTTGTCAGCCATCAGTAAGTCGAATATTTGCTCAGCCTTGGTAATGTCAAAGGAATATCCTTTGGTGGAATCAAGTATCCCTTTCTTATTTGAAATAGAAGCGGCTTGGGCACTAGTCGTAGCTACAGATTTTAACTTTACAAGTGCCTCACAAATATATGGCTTTTTTATGTTTAACTCTGCCATATGGACCTTAACATCGCTATCAAGGTTAGCAGCAAAGACTTCATAATTTGGGTCGCGATAATACGTTCCTTTTGAGGAAGCTTTTCTATCCTTTTCCTCATGAAGTAATCCTTCATACTTGGCAACTCTACTCGCCAAGTCAAAGAGATCACGAAACTCTACCCCTTCAAATTTCTTGTGCAATTCAAAGTCTAGACCATTGACAGCCATTCTAACATACTCGACTTCGGGAAGATCTACATGACACTTATGCTTTGCCTTTCTGAATCTGGATAGGAAGGTTTCTATGGATTCTCCTGGCAACTGGTTAAGCCTAGAAAGATCAGCCATGGAAACTTCTGGCTCAGTTCGATAGAAATGTGAATGGAACATTTCTTTAAACTGATGCCAACTATTAATGGAATTTACAGGTAAATTAGGGTACCATCTAAAGGCATATCTGGTTAAAGTATTACGAAACAACCGGAATTTTAACCATTGATTGCCTCCTGCCTCACCACATTGAACTGTGAATCGGCTTATGTGTTTTACGGTGGATTGGTTGCCTTCGCCACTGAAAGTGGCAAATTCAGGAATTCTAAAATTCCTTGGATATTCAACATTATCTATGAACTCAGGGTATGGTTTCCTATAGATAGGTCTTCCACCCCTTCTAGTCAAACCAAATTCTTACTGAAAGAATTCAGCAAGTTGGCATCTATCCTACATCACAGGTGACTGGACTTATGGTTGGTAATTCTCCGGCCATCCTTGTGGTTGGTTGGCCATGGGTTGCCCCCCAAACATCATTGAAAATGTGTTTGGGTCTAGGTTATTCCTCCAGTGACCTCTATTGCCTCTTTGGTCAGGAGGCTCCCTTGGTATGTTTTACCCCCCACCTGCTACAGGAAAAACCTGAGGTGGTCTTTGAGGAATGGTAGGATGTGGCTGAACATTCTGCTGGCCAACATTGGGTGGAAAATACGACTAATTTCCCAATTGACATACTTGAGTTTTACCCTAAGAAGACCCAAATTGATACAAATTGTTAGAAAAAACTTCATGACTAACCTGTTGAGACATAGTCGCAGGAGCTGAATTCTGCACTTGCTGGGTCACTGGAATGGACATTGATTGTATAGGTGGCACCTGCACTGTTTATGCCTATGGTATGATACTCACAGGCTAATGAGAAGGACTCCCCTTAACAAAAGTACTTGGCTTGTTCACTGGAACGGCCGATTGTTGAGAACCTTCTGAATTGCTTGGCTTGTTGGCCAAGCTTTGAGAAATGTTTGCCAAGCTTTGAGAAAAACTTGTAAAAGACTAGTTAAGCAAAGTTAACTGATCCAACATGTGATCTGCCTTTTCATTTTGTGCAAAGACGGCTTCTTTATGACTACGAGCACTCTTCTCTATAGCATTCATGGTAGGTCCATTCGTCATTGCTTCAACGAACTTTGTAACCATATTTTCTCCTTCTTTAGGAACAGCACGCGAACTTTCATCAGGAAGTTCAATATCTTGTTCCCCTTTAATTTTGGCAGGATCTTGAATAGATTTGCAGTGTCTTTTTCTTTCCGCCATTGAAACACTCCATTCAGAATGTCCCGCCGGACGTGCCACTATATTTGGCCTGTAAAAGGCGGTCAGTTCCGATGGAACCAGATGGGTGTGCCAAGAACTACAATAGTTCTGAAGAGAGATCCAAACAATATTCCAGAAGGAAGATTGCGAGACCAGGCGACTGTGATGTGGTCTAGAATGAACACCTCAGGGTTCTTTTTATCTTTGATAGAGGACTTCGGGATAGTTAACTGGCTAGGAAGGAATGAACTACTTGAGAAAGTAATTGAATTGAATGTAAAATTATCTAATGAAAAGTAAAGTGCAGGACTAAGACTAATCGTAATGAAATTGCATTGCAATGAAAATAAGAATTTGTATTGAAATGCTGGGTTGTGTTGGGCATTGAGCAGGCCTATTACGTTACAACATAATAACCTATTTATAGAATGAAAATATAATCAGTTACAATAGCAGTTCCGAGCAGTTCCATTGATGTCTCCAAATGCTTCCAAGTGTCCAAGCCATGCAATCGTGCCTTTGATTCTTCTAGAACTTTCATGCAATCGTGCCATCACATGTAATCATACTTTGATTCTTCTGGAACTTCCATGTAATCGTGCCATCACATGTAATCATGCTTTGATTCCATTATTCCCAAATAAATTGCACGAATTTTTTTGTCTGAGCAATTGACCATTACTCCTATTTTCTCGGATGGTGGAAGCAATGGCCCCAAACGTGCAATTGGTTATAGCTAATATAGTGGCTTTTGAAGAAAACCAACCTCCATATTTTTTGGAACTCTAATCTCCACGTCTAAAACTCCAATAATTGACACGTTCCTTTGACCAAGTCATATCTCTTACGTGGTTTTTCTACAATGGACTTCCATGTTAATTCAACTGCTAAAATCCCCATCTTCATGGGCTTTTTTGAATCAAACCTTATTCCACGTGCCTTCATCAAATTAGAGTAGTTTAATATAACCAAACTATATCTAATTGGATTTTACTGAGAATCTTCCTTGAGTAAAACTTTCACCCATCAGAAACTGGCTTGACCTAAATGCTTTAATGTGCCAGAACCTAGCTTGACCAAAAATTCCTTCCACGTATCTGCTTTTCCAATGGGAGAAAATAAGGGTGTAAACACTCGGCAACTATCCCAAGCATCAATCAATCTTCTCGTGGACTCTGGCATTACCCACTGGATCCCAAAGATGGCACGCATTATATCCCACTCATCCTTTGCCCAAGGGCAATGTAGAGAAAGATGATCCACCATCTCTTCATCCCTCTTGCACATATAACACCAATTGACAAGAATCTGCCGCCACTTTTTCAAACTGTCAAAATCCTCCCCAAGACAGTTGTCCAACCAAAAAAGGCCACCACCTTCGAGAGGCTTTCGAGTGCCAAATTCCTTTCCATGGAGAGGACATCCCCTAAGCATCCATCACCTAACAATAGAAATGTCGGACCTCAAATCTCCCCTTGCTCGAAGCCTTCCACATTAACTTATCCCCACCTCATAAATCACTTGGCTATATAGCATATCCAAAAACTCAACCAAATCCTCGGAGGTTTGGGCAAAAATATAGTTAACTCATGTCCATTAAGGCCAAAAATATAGTTAGCTCCTATCTGTTAAGGCTGTGAAAGACTTTCTCATTTAACACCAAAGGTGCCCTAATATTGGAACAAAATTACACAGTTATTATAGATACTAATTATTTTAAATGACGATTTATTCCTATGTGATGAGAAAAAAAATAACCTTTTATCTAGCTTCTCTATCTTCCCTCTCTGCACTAAATTTTCTCTCACACAGGCCATCATAAACTACAATCTAAGAAAATATCACAACTACCATTGACTTGAACCGCACCCCAATGAATATGATCTCCATGAACCACCATGGCTGCCATACCAATTTTCTCACACTGCATACTCTCACCTTTCTCTCTCAACTTTTTTTTTTTCGTAACTCGCTCTCTAACTTCTCACTGTTCATTAAACACCTCCATACCTTCAATATCTAGTCTGATAAGAAAGTGAAGAGGATTGTGAGTTCTTATTAGAGGGAAGTTTTAAGGAAGGAAGAGGGTCGAAAGATGTTGCAAGTTCATTAAATAAATTTCTTTTTTCTTTTTTAAAAAAAATATTCATTAAAGAGTGCCCAACAGTGAGGGAAAAGGAAGCAGGGAGAATAAACTGCACAAAAACCCAAAGCCTCAAACTATCCACAAAATCCAAAAGAATCTCCAAAGGTTTACAATTATAGCATTGAATCCAAAAGAAAATAGACCTAAGGACATATAATCTAAATGTTCCCCAAGGAGACTCCACTCTATCAAAGGATCTCATATTCCTCTCTATTCATAAGGCCCACCAAGGGCAAATGGGACAGTCTTCCATGCATCTTTGACTTGGGCACGCACTCGGCAACTGTCCCCAAGCATCAATCAATCTTCTCGTGGACTCTGGCATTACCCACTGGATCCCAAAGATGGCACGCATCATATCCCACTAATCCTTTACCCAAGGGCAATGTAGAGAGAGATGATCCACCATCTTTTCATCCCTCTTGCACATACGACACCAATTGACAAAAATTTGCTGTCACCTTTTCAAATTGTCAATGGTCAAAATCCTTCCCAAAGCAATTGTCCAACCAAAAAAGGCTACCACCTTCAAAGGGCATTCGAGTGCCAAATTCCTTTCCATGGAGAGGACATTCCTTAAGCATCCATCACCTGACAATAGAAATGTCGGACCTCGAATCTCCCCTTGCTCGAAGTCTTCCACATCAACTCATCCCCACCCTAGAAATCACTTGGCTATATAGCATATCCAAAAACTTAACCAAATCCTCTACCTCCCAATCATGTAACAGCCTCTCAAACTACACGTCTCAAGTCAACCTCTATCATCAAGATGATAGTGGGGGACCAACATATGCCTGTCCCTCGTAATCTCGGCCAATCTCAGAAGACTCTTTAGAGACTTCTAACCACACCAAGCATCCTCCAAGAAGCTAATATGGTGCCCATCCCTCACCTTAAAGCGAATATGCTTTGAGAACTCATCCCAACCCTTCCAAATATTCTTCCAAAAGTTTACAGCCTTACACCACCCCTAGGATCTCTCCATCAAAGAACACCAATAGCATTTCAACTCTCAGTATCTTAAACAGATGACTCTCATCCATAATCTCTGACTCTCTACTCCAAACCTCCACAACCATTTAATAAAAAAAGCTTTGTTAAACAAGTCCAACCTACTCACTTCCAGCCCTCCCTTCTGAACAGGTCTGCAAATATGCTCTCACCCCACAAGATGGTACTTGAGTTCATCACCCATGCCGCCCCAAAAAAAGTTCCTCTGTAGTTTCCCAATCTTCCTTGTCACAGAAGCCGAAATCAGGAAGAGGGATATAAAGTAAGTGGGAAGTCTTGAAAGGTCGCTCTTCAGAAGGGTCAGCTGTCCTCCTTTGAAAGAAACTGTTTCTTCCAACCAGCCAAGTGCCTCTTAAACTGCTACACAACTGGATCCCAAGACAATCTCCCTAGGTAATTCAGCAGTAGGCCCAAGTAATTCAACGAAAAAGACCCTAGTCTGCACTCTAAAATACTGGCTAGCTAATCAATCTCCTCCACAGGCATAATCTCACTCTTTGCAAGGTTGCTTTTCAGTCTCGAGATCACCTCGAAGCACACCAGAACCCTCTTATGTACCTTAACTGGCTCGCCTTAACATCACATAAAACATTGGTATCATCCGCAAAAAGCCAGGTGAGGGAATCCCAATCTGACTAGAAGATCCCTGCCAACCCAGCCTTTGATGTATCCCAGGTTCCCCGCTCTCCTAATCAACATGCTGAATGCCTCCGTCACTATGATAAAAAGGGAAAGGGATAAAGGATCTCCTTGTCTCAAACCTCTCGAACTGCCAAAAAAGCCAGATGCAATGCAATTCAGAATCACTAGAACCTCACTAGGAAAATACATAATCGAATCCATCCCCTCCACATCACACCAAATCCCATCATCTCCATGACATATATAAGAAAATCCATGATATCAATGGCACCACCCTTCTTAGGGATATGAGAGCGATAAAGGAGGGAGGCACCAACAGGTCAGTGGCTTAACAGTACCAAGTTCCTACTTCTCAAAGAGAGGTCAGGGGTTCGAGCCTCCGTGGATGCATGTGTGTGTGAGTACCCAACTAGGGAAAAGAAGAAAAAAAAAAAAAAAAAAAAAGAAAAGAAAAAAAGAGGGAGGCATTCATGGACTTCTTCTGTTGGTGTTCTATTTGTTTTCCCTAGCATTCTCCAAGCTTCTATGGGTATATTATTTGGTATACTCCCCATCTTCTTAAGTGTGTCCTCTACTTCCTTATTGGTGATTCTATTTATTATTCCCATGTTAAATTCATTTACTTTAACTTCCTCTCTAGGGTATTACTCATTTAACAGATTTTGGAACTAATTTGTTCCATCCAACTAATATCTCGTTTTCGTTGACTAATATTTTATTATTATGTCCTTCGTAAATCTAATTTGGTTCGCGTCTTTAATTGATCTCAATTCTTTACTCATTTATAAATAGTTTTTTCACCCATTTTCGTGCCTAAATTTTCATATAATTCATTTAGTGAGTTTCACTTGGCTTTGCTCACAATCTTCTTGATCACTTATTGCACTTCCTCACCCCACCGCCATGTTTCTTTCTCAATAACCTTCTTTCCTTCAATTTATCCCAAAATATCTTTCACCTTATCCCGCATGCAATTCGCCATTCTGAACCACAAATTATTTACGTCATCATTCCAATCCCATTGTTTTTCGTTCAATAGTTATTCTCTAAACATTACCGTTTACTTACTTTTAATTATTTCTACTTAATGTTTTGATGTCCCTTTTCATTTTTCGTACTTAAACCATTAATTAAGATGTTTAAAATTAGTAAGAGATGTTGGATTGTGAGGCTTTCCCCAAGAATCACTTTACAATCTTTACATGTGGCTCGTTCCCTTCTTCTATATAAACAATAATCAATTTGAGATTTATTTATTACATAGTGGTGACCAGCATAACGAGAGGAGATAGAGAGAGAACTAGAGAGGAAGAGTAGGGAAAGAAGAGGGATAGTTTAGTCTTTTCATTCTATTGATATTTCTTTTTCCCCTTCTACTATGATTATAATATTAGAAGATGAATTGGTAATGAACAAAAAAGTTATGTACCGTTTGACTTAATAATGTCAAAAAGTTTAATATGTGGGTGCAAAGCACATTCCTCAGGGAAGGACCCTAAAGAATAATAAAGAAGAAGAACGAAAATTTAACTTACGTAACAGATTTAATACTATTCAAGTAGTAACAAACTTCCTTTTTGTTAAATCCCAATTAGAAATTATATAGAAATTTGAATACTATATGGTAGCGGCAGGAAATTCTGTGACTCGGAACTTGGTAACCGCATCTAGGTTATCTCACTTGATTCTGCATTACTTAATATAACTTTCGTTCTTTACCATCGACTGAAGATGTGAAGGGTTTTCATTTTAGATACTAAATACTTGCAACAAACCACCATGCAAAATTTACATCATATAAGTATGCAAGAGGTGCACATAAATAATGATTACAAAACTCGTGCTGCATATAGTCATAATGATCACAATTTACAACTGTCCCCTATAAATTTACCACATTTTATCATATCTTATACTAACTATTTAGGATCAAGATCTAAGCTTTAACATAATAATAATAATAATAACATAAACACAACTTGGCCATTTATTAGTCCATACACAAGATGAACCTCCCACTGCCAACAGAAAATTTCTACCTAAACCTTTTCAATACAGAAGATACCATAGGATATCATTCATCTCAATCTGAGGCTGCTTTGAGATGATGGATGCCCCGGAGAAGCTTCAAGAAAATTTCTACATAAAACCTGAGCCTATCAATTACGCAAAGGATCGCGGGCAAAAAACACCCTGTAGTATGCATATAGAATATATAAACTCCCATACGTTCTAAAAACTTCCTAAAATCCAATTTTGTTGCAAACAATGACCTAAATGCCGAAAAGATTAAAGTATCCCTTTATAAACTGAATAAAAAATAGGTAAAAAAAACTAATTAAACTTGAAATGACTAAAATGGATCCCAATCAAACCCAGATCCCAAACATCTTCTTCTCCTCTGTTTATTTATATAAGGGCATTTTCGGAAGAGACATGGATATTTTTTAATGAAACAGTGACCTAAAGCCTTTCTTTGTCACATTTTTTTTCAAGCTTAACGGACTTATATAACCAAAATAAAGGAAAATAAAGGATACAGGTACGAGTGTTTTCTCACTTTGCCCTTTACGCAAATAAGCTTCAGATTTACAAACTCAGAATTCCATCTTCAATCAAAAAAGAAAAATCGAGAGAAACTGGATGCATGAATACAGATTGGTAAAAGACAGGGTAATTGACTGAGCCTTTTCATTCCAAAAATAATCAGAACATCATATACAAAAGTTTCAAGTTTGAAGGAGACCAGTTACAGGCTTATAACTTCTGACGGAAATAGGTTTCTTGTTATTTGTGGGAAGGAAGGAAGGAAGTACATTTCACAAGGTGTTTGCCATTTCAGCTAGTTATTTGAGATAATATAAGTAACATACAAAAGACCATATGACCATAAATGCTCAGTTATAAGCTGGACTATAGATATACTAAATAGGTAGACTAATCCTGACAGCAAGAAATGAAACCTGTTCAAGGTGAGCTCCATTAAGCTTCTTAAGATCTAAGAATGCAGACGATGTAGGTGAAGCAAGATCTTGAAGATAACGAGTGAATTTTGGACTCTACTTTAGCTTGAACGATGAGCTTCACCACCTTGTCTCGTGCTCCTACCAATGGTTAAAGGGGCGGAACTCTGACTTGACATCTGGACATCAGAAAGTGGGACAGATCCAGTCTGAGGAAAGATCAAACCAACTGAACTACTCGGAGTGTTTCCAGGAGGCATTCTAGTTGAATGAGGATCCATTTTGGACCCCGAAATAAATTCAGGACGTAGCTCTGAATATGAAAATGAAGGAGCCATAGTAGAAAGTGAAGACCCAACCATGTAGGGAGCAACTGGAATATCAGTTAGAGACGAACCAGATGGACTGTATCTAACCGATCCCACTGGATGATCAAATTTGCATGTTTGCCCGAACTTGCAGTGACCATTTTGCATATAGAAAGAGCAAGGTTGAACCCCCTGTTCATCAAAACAGAAATCAGATGGATGGGTTCCGGATCCGATGGCACACAATATTCCAATTAAAAGACATGTCAAGAGAACAAGCAATACACAGCCTGATCAAAATATCAAGAATGTATGAATATGATCACAAAAACAAATAAAATGAAATATGATCACAATACTTCAATATCTCTTGTGGCCATTAATTGTCTATGGTTATAATCATCAAGATTGACATGCACAGTATAACCTCATTCTGCACAACATCCAATGACATGTTGATGTATAAATTGCATGTGCTATTTTCATCTAGATTTCACTGATACAACCTAATTTCACCAGCCATAGAGCAAAATAGATAAAGAATATGGTAAATTACCCTAACCTCCCCTAAGGTTTGTCCTTTGCACCCACAAAGTAAACTTTGGCCAATCTCCTCGGAGGTTTGGGCAAAAATATAGTTAGCACGTCTGTTAAGGCCAAAAATATAGTTAGCCAAATTCGATTTTATTATTATGTCCTTAATAAATCTAATTTGGCTCACGTCTTTAACTGATCTATCTCAATTCTTTGCTAATTTATAAATAGTTTTTTCACCCATTTTCGTGCCTAAATTTTCATATAATTCATTTAGTGAGTTTCACTTAGCTTTGCTCACTATCTTCTTGCCTTCACATTTGAGTTTATTATTTGTGGCTATATCTTCTTGTTGCTTACCTTTTTTGCCATGCAGCGCTTTAGAACTTTTTTGTTTTTCATTGATCACTTGTTGCACTTCCTCACCCCACCGCCATGTTTCTTTCTCAATAAACTTCTTTCCTTCAATTTCTCCCAAAATATCTTTCACCTTATCCCTCATGCAATTCGCCATTCTGAACCACAAATTATTTACGTCATCATTCCAATCCCATTGTTTTTCGTTCAATAGTTATTTTCTAAACATTACCGTTTACTTACCTTTTAATTCTTTCTACTTGATGTTTTGATGTCCCTTTTCGCTTTTTTGTACTTAAACCCTTAATTAAGATGTTTAAAATTAGTAAGAGATGTTGGATTGTGAGGCTTTCCCCAAGAATCACTTTACAATCTTTACATGTGGCTCATTCCCTTCTTCTATATAAACAATAATCAATTTGAGATTTATTTATTACATGGTGGTGACTAGCATAACGAGAGGAGATAGAGAAAGAACTAGAGAGGAAGAGTAGGGAAAGAAGAGGGATAGTTTAGTCTTTTCATTCTATTGATATTTCTTTTTCCCCTTCTACTATGATTATAATATTAGAAGATGAATTGGTAATGAACAAAAATGTTATGTACCGTTTGACTTAATAATGTCAAAGTTTAATCTGTGGGTGCAAAGCACATTCCTCAGGGAAGGACCCTAAAGAATAATAAAGAAGAAGAAGAACGAATATTTAACTTACATAACAGATTTAATACTATTCAAGTAGTAACAAACTTCCCTTTTTTAAAGTCAGAGAGTAGTGACTCAGAACTTGGTAACCGCATCTAGGTTATCTCACTTGATTCTGCATTACTTAATATTACTTTCGTTCTTCACCATCGACTGAAGATGTGAAGGGCTTTCATTTTAGATACTAAATACTTGCAACAAACCACCATGCAAAATTTACATCATAAAAGTATGCAAGGGTGCACATAAATACCAAAAAAACTAAGGTTACAAAAACAAAACATCCACTTCTAAGCTAGGCCTGCTGGCGTTTTTTCCATCTCATTTTTTTTTTTGTTTTGTTTTGTTGACAAGTGTTTTTTCCATCTCATTTGTTGGTAATTTGTTTAAATGTTTGCAATATGAAGTCAAGGGGAAGAGGGATAATATACTGAATGGATTTGAATCCATAACATGAACCCCATTCCTTATGAAGTTTGTAGGCAATCTTTCATCAAAATTTCCTATAAACAGAGAAAAAAATAATTTATGCTTGACAATAATAATAAAGGAAACTAGAGTGGCAAAAAACAAGACAAAGGGAAAAAATATATATTCTGTTCGGCTTTCATTACTTAAATTGACCTCAATTCTGTAAACTTGGATCACGTGTTACTAACAAGAATAGTATTTTCAACAGAAATATGTGACAACAAATAATGTTACTAGAAGTGCAGCCTTCAATCTTGCTGATAATTTGCTAACAGGAAGATACACACCAGCAATTTCTAAAAAGAATCACTCCAATAAGGAAGCAGCCATAATTCCACACAGAATAGCCATATTATGTGATGTCACAAAAAGATATGAAAGTAACCTACATGTGTTTGCCTAAAATGAACTAAGAAAAATGCAACGTGTCCATTTTGCTGATGTGCGACAATATGATGAGTGAATTCAGCAAGAGCTGTGGTTGCTTTCACATTAAATGCACGGTTATTTGTCTCTCTATCCCAATCAAAAGGCCAACTTGGACACATATATCCCTGGTTTTAGGGTCACATCTTTTTTCTATATAATAAGACATTATGCATCTTTTTCCGTCTTAACCCACATTAATTCAGGCCTTCTTTGTCCTAGCAGAACCTTCAACCGAACTATATCACTAAAAAATTCCACTCGTTGGCTTTGTTGAAAAAAAATTCATGATTTTCGCTCATCTTCCAGTTCCAGCAAGTTCTGATATTTTATCTCACTAATTCAGTCATATCCTGTATCCCTTTTGTTTATCACCACCTACTCCAAAAGCTTAAGCTAAAACTTTAATATTTAAATCCTTAAACACGCCCCCTCACGTGCAGCCTTCTTTTTGGTCCAACACGTGATTATCAATTTTTAATTAGGGTGACGGTGAGGTTTGAACTACAGACCTTTGGCTTTGATACCGTGTTGATCACCATCTACTCTAAAAGCTTAAGCTATTAGAGAGGGTGCAACTTTAATATTTAAATCTATCAACACCTTTCTCATCAAGGCAACATCTACCTCAGCATCCTCACTTTTCTATCATTATCTAATGAATACCTTTCTTGACTTCCATTCTATACCAATTACAAAAACTGAAATTACAAATGTATCTGTTACCCTTCTTTTTTCTTTTCAATTTTTACTTATTTTTTTATTCTTTTAAACCAACAACTCAGATCATGAAGATTAACTTATAAACAGTAATTCCCTTACAGCATTGTGTCATTTTAAAGTTGACCTTACCAAGTGTTTGCAAGGTAATAGCCTGCAATTTACAATTTGTAACTCTTTGTTAGACTCTACATCGGTAAAATATATATATATATATATATATATATATATATATATTGTGTGTGCATATTATTTCAGTTCTTCAGCATTGCCTTCTAGCATTTTGTAAAACAATTTAATATCTTTTTTTCACTAAAAGTAAGGTACACCACATTGCCTTCTAGCATTTTGTAAAACAATTTAATATCTTTTTTTCACTAAAAGTAACCCTTTCGCATTGTCTCATCACGAGTGTAATAGCTTTTCTGTTACTAGTATGACTTGTTGGAACGACACAAGCCGAGCCGAGCCGAGCCTCAATTCAGAAAGATGAAGGGCCCAAAAGTATAAGTAGGGGATCACAAATACCCCATCTCATTGGGGCGGGAAACAAATTGACATCCAAGGGAATAAAAGGGAGGTCCTTGGTCCTCCACATGACAAGCTGTTTGCATAGTCCGTTGTGATAGCTAAACGAGTGAATTCCTTATGTCGAAGACCTGGAAGTTTATTATGATAAACAATCAAATTTCAACTTTGAGATTAGTCTCCAGGTTTTTAGTTACTTTCAACCAAGCAATATGTCAGCCTACATAAGCGAACATATCAAACTATGCTTCACTTCATGCCATAAAGACAGAAGCCACATATGAGAACTCTTGACTGAAGCCCATGAAAAGACAACTTATATTTTACAAGGATATGCCTTCATGTCTCAACATCATCATTTTTCTTTTGAATTAAGAACACACACACCCAACTTAATGCACATACTCACTATATTTCATTCAGGACCTAAACCCTCAAAGTTCTATATGGGAGAATTTAGAGATACGACTTGATTTAGAGGATCGGTGGTATCAACAACAACAACAACAAAAAGCAGCATGGTGAAAACTTTCATTTTGGAAGTGAGTTTGAATCCCATTTCATAAAAAGATACATGTGTTGGACCAAAAGAAGGCCACACGTGAGGGGGTGTGTTGAAGGGTTTAAAGTTACACCTCTCTAACGACCTAAGCTGTTAGAGTGGATGATGGTTAACACACACTACATATTAATTTTCACTGGACATGGCCAAACCATCTCATACAATAACCCCTCATCTTATCCTCAGTTGGTGCCACCCCATGCTTCTGAAGAAAGCACCGATAACATTTGAAAATAACTTTTTACTAAGCCTCAATCGGATTTTCTTGAAAATGTTGGCCTAGACATCACTATACGCAATATCTCATAAACAGAAGAAACCAAATGATTTAACCAGTTTGACTTCAACCAATCAGGCTTATCAGTCTACGCAACCTCAATTTGAATTTTATTTATTATTATTATTTTTATATAAGTAATATTGTATCAGAAAGAGTTCAAAGGGGTTACACATCCTAGCCACTAAATTCTCAAAGGGTCCAAAAAATCAACTCTCTCCCATGGATTTACAATTTCTCCCTAAAATCCAACAAAAAAAAGAGAACAAAGAATAGAGAACTTCAGTGCTCCAATAGGAGTCTCCTTGCTATCAAATGATCTCCTATTCCTTTCTGTCCATAAAAACCACCAAACACACAGAGGCATTACCCTCCAAAAGTCATGGGCTTGGGCATCCGCTGTACATCCTCTCTAAGCCTCAATTAAACCCCTGGAGGATCTAGGCAAAACCCAATGGACCCCAAACAAGCTCAACAAAAGACCCCAACTGTCTTGGGCCATAGTACAGCACAACAAAAGATGATTAACTAACCATCTCCTCATCTCTCTTGCAAATATAACACCAATTAACAACAATTTGTTTCCTCCTCCTAAAGTTGTCAGAGTAAGAATC